CTCAAGGGGGATAAGTGCCTGCAGGTATGTTACCCCGTCCTGTACATTTTTGGGATTTTCTATATGCGTGTTGGTGGGATCGGGGGGCTAATGAGTTACAGTGCGACGAGCCATACACCGCCGACAATGTGATCCCCATCCTCCCGACCAAAGAATCTGATAAGCAGCAGCTCATTGAGCGTGGACACAAGCTCGCAGAGCAAGGTCTCACGCACTCGCTGAAGAAAGCTCCCGGCTCGAAGAAGCGCAAGAAGAATGCGGCGAATGGTGATGCGACGGATGTGGGCAAGGAATCAAAGCCCGCAGAGAAATCTTCAAGTGCCAATGCCAGTCGGAGCAACACGTCTACACCCACGCCCGGTGGCTCGAGTGGTATCAAGAATGCCGCTACTGCGTTGTTGACGCAGCGGGTGCTGGAGGAGGAAAACGAGAAGAAAAAGCGGCGGAAGATGCTGGGGACCAGTGACAACATCAGCAGTCTCTTCACGAAGGAGTCTAAGGATGCCCATGCCAAAAATACAGACTTTATGACGAGAGGATTTAGTCTTCCTGCGGCGGCTAGGAAGTAGTTGTTGAACGTGGCGGTGCTTGCTTTTGCAGCTTCTATACAGATATAAGGGTGTTAATTCATTAGGCGTATGGGGTTCAGGCCCGGCTACGGAACCGGTCTTTTCTATTTTCACTATATCATATTACGCTTGAGATACACTAAAATGCTAGCCATTCAAGATAGATCTAGCTGCGATCTATATCAATGCTAAATGAACAAAAAAAGACATCAATTCCTATTGTACAGCAAAATTCCGTACTAGATATAACATGCTACAAGAACTAGAGATAGATAATCTTTGAGCCAGCCAGCCAACCAAACAAACCTGCAAGATATGTATGCCATGCAATCAGTCTATGCAAGGAGTCCTCTGGAACGAAGCTCGGCTTCAATGATTTTCCTCCGGCCCATCTCGTCATCGCGGTGCAAGCGGGTCTGTCTCTTCGAGAAGACCTTGATGTTGGGCAGGGACTGGAGCCGGTCATTGTGCTCCAGAATTTCAGCCAGCTTCTTGGGCTTGGGGTTCAATTGACCCTGGACGTAGTCGATGGCCTGTTTGACGGTGGTGATCTGGTGGACGATGTTGTCGGGGAAGAAGTGGCCGCTCAGCTGGGAGAATCTCTTGAGAAACTGTTCAACAAAGAAAGGTTAGCGACTGTCCGCACAGCACATCAATCCAAGTAGAATAGTAACGGGGGAAACTAACAGCAAACTTCGTCTCCTGATCCTCCAAAGACAAAGTCAAGAATCCCTTATCACGAGCATCCTGGTATCCGAAGAAAGGAACCTTAGAGGTCTCCTCTTCCTCACCCTCCCAAGCAGCCTCCTCGAACTCCTCGACCTCGGCGGTTTCCTCAGCAGCCTGCTGCTGCTCCACAGCCTCGGGCTGACTACCACCGATCTGCTCGAAGATGTAAACGAGGGCCTCCTTAGCCTGCTTGTTGTGGTACTCCAGCGCGCTGCCCCAGCTACCAGCCTCATTAGGCACGATCTTAGTCTTCCAGATCATCTTGAAAACGGCCTTGTCATGTTCGGTGACGTTGCAGACGCTTGTCAACGGCTTGTTCAGCGCATGCATCAGACAGATCTCAACAGCAGCCTGATGCGCAGCAAGAGACAGGGGACCCTGTTTGCGGAGTTTCTTCTTGAGACCGAACCTATCCATCAAACAAATAAACCAATTAGCCAAAAACAACTCCCAAACCCGCGTAATCCAAAACCATGCGGAAGAAGAACAACAACAACTTACGTCCCAACCCGATCAGCCTCAGCCCGAGGAACATTCTTCCAACCTCCCAAATGACCCACACGCTCCAACCCATCCCACGTCGTCGCAGGCTCATAGTCAACCCCGGGCTCCAACTGATCAATAGCCTCAGCCTCAGGTGCCGCTTCCGCCGCATTCACCACCTCCGTCTCGCCCTCCGGCTGAGTCTTAGCCTTCCCGAACCTCTTCTCAAGCAAACTCTCTCCGTACGGATCCTTCAATCCCGGCGGGTTATCCGTACCCCAAAGTCTGCGTCTCACTCGCTCACTCAGCGGTGTGTTGGAAGCATGGCGAAGGAATTGCCGGGCGACAATTGGCCGCGGCCGCGCCTCGTTTCTGCATACTGAGCAGACGTACAGGGTCCGCGAGGCGCCCTGGACGTCGAGACTCAGCAATCGCACGGACGGTCGCATGGTGCTGTGCAATTGGGGTGGGTTGCGGGTTTTGCTGGCGGGTGCCCGGACGGAGGTGATGGGGGATCGAAAAGTTTCGCGGTGGTGAGGTTCCGGCCGGGGAGGTCACGTGAGGAGAGCGTGCATGGGATGCGGCTTGGCGGTCGGGAGTTATTTAGTAGTATATTTTCACACGGAACTATAGGGATGGATATTTTCAAAGTCGTACAGAGTACTGTTGAGGAGGAAGGGGGCCTTCTCGGGTCTACTTTGTTCCTGCATCTATATCCCTAGGGCATGTCTCTCATCCCTTCGTAAGTTTAGCAACAGTATGTCGTTTTACATCGCTGAATTTATAACCCCTTCCAACATCGTTGGATCAGTTGAGCTCCTTATCGCTTAAGTCATCAATACTAGCAATAGTATGTTTATGAAGATAGTCTCATTGAATATCATTCTGGGAATATAGGTCTTCATACAGGGTATAAATAGTATTTGTGCGTGTATGTATTTACATGCGTCTCTACGCTGATATCATGATAACTAAAGTCGCTATAACCTGTACAAGAAGGAAACGCCCCAAATTTTGTTTCTGCCTTTTGGTTTTGCTCATCCTTTACTCCCGGACGAACATACCAGCCATACCCATACCAGTGCCAATGCACATGCTCACAACACCGACTTCCTGGCCGGTGCGCTCCATCTCAGGCAGCAGAGTGGCAAGCTGTCTGGCACCGGTGGCACCAAGAGGGTGACCGATAGCAATGGCACCACCCTTGGGGTTAACCTTGGCCTCGTCAATACCCAGCTTGCGGATAGAGTACAGGGCCTGGGAGGCGAAAGCCTCGTTGATTTCCCAGACGTTAACATCCGAGACGGTCATGTCAAGCTGCTGAAGGAGCTTGGGAATAGCAACCGCGGGACCGACACCCATCTCATCGGGAGCACAACCCGCAACGGCAGTACCAACCCAGCGGCCCTGGATCTGAGAGGTCAGGCCGAGCTCGGTGGCGGTCGAACGGCGCATGAGCAGAGCGGCAGCGGCACCGTCGCTGACCTGAGAGCTGTTTCCAGCGGTACTAGCACCGGTGGGAGAGAAAGCGGGCTTCAGGCTAGCCATCTTCTCAACCGAGATGTTGGGGCGGATACCGTCGTCCTTGGTCACGGTGATCTCCTTGGGAGGAGCATCGGGGTTCTCGGGGTCATAGGAGAGAGTCTTGACGGGGATGATTTCCTTGTCGAACAGACCGGCGTTCTGGGCGGCAGTAGCCTTCTTGTGGGACTCGGCAGCGAACGCGTCCTGGTCGGCACGGGAGATGCCGTAGCGCGAAGCAACGTTCTCGGAGGTGATACCCATGGGCATGATACAGTCGCGGGAGTCCTGGGAGTGAGACTCCTTCAGCTCGGGCCAGAGAACGGTGGGGATGGCGCGGGAGCCATAGTTTCTGGTCATGGACTCCATTCCACCACCGACACCAACGTTAATGGCTCCAGAGCGGATTCCGTTTCCAATGGTGGAGATAGCAGCCAGACCGGAGGAGCACTGTCTGTTGATCGTGTGGAAAGGCACGCTGTGGGGGAAACCGGCGTGGATCTGAGCCATACGGCCAGCCTTCGCACCACCGAGTTCCTGGAGGACGGAGCCGATGGCGACATCGTCAATGAGAGCAGGGTCAAGGTTCGGGTTCGCCTCCAAAGTGGCCCGGAGGACGTGAGCAAGCAGCTCTTCGGGATAGGCGTCCTTGAAACCGCCCTTCTTCGCACGGGTAACCGGGGTACGGAGGGAAGAAAGAATGACAATGTCCGAGGGAGACTTCTGGAGGACCTGGCGCAGGCCTCGGGGAATGGGAGAGGCCATGATGACGGATATTCGACTTCTGAATCAAGCAAGAGACAGGGAGGAATGGAAGGAGAGGATCTCGACTTTCGCTTCGCCCCGGTTGAAAACCGGGGCCCGGCAACATACTTATATCAAAATATAGCCACCCGAAGGGATTCCGGGGCTCGGGATGGCTCGCGTACGGACTGAGCCAGTTGCACGCTGGCTTCGAACTACCGGCAATGAAGATCGGCTAAGCGCACTGCCGCTGGGGACTCTGGACGAAGGCAAATTTGGGAAATTGTGGAGTCGTCGGCAGTCCCGGTCTGGGGGTTTCCCCGTCTTCTGCTTGAGATTCTGATTGGGGATGTGTGTCCGGAGAACAATCTTACAATGTCAACCTTCGAAGATCACTACATCCTGTCGACTATCAAATAGTTCCCATTGTCCAATATAAATGTAGCTCTCTCTCTCGATCTCTGTCGGATTGATGTCCGACAAAGACATCCGGTGCCAGTCACCTGCTCTTCCGCCATCGGATGCGGACGCTTATGTCAGCCAGATCGGAAGAGCAATTCGGAAAACACCATCAACTAACGAACTAGCCACTAGTTGACAGGGCCCTGAGTAATAGCCCGAACTCTATCGCTTATATAGAACTTCTAGATATTCGCCGTCAAATGCTCCCCAGGGCTGAGAAAAGACAACAATATGCATTATCGAAGGATAAGCATTGATTCTTCCGATACACTAGAACCAGTCCTCTGTCCCAACTGGTCGCATCTACAAATGCAAGTCATGTCAATAAAGCCCCACAATCCCGAAAACCGTTGGTATCATAGTAAAAACAGCACAGCCGCCTTTCCCTGTGCATACCCTTCCATAGCGCCTGGTATCATGAACTCGTCAAGTGATAAAAGTCAAGCAGAACAAATAAAGAAAACAGCAAAGGAACAGAAAGGGTTAAGTGTGTCAGTGACGGATGATGTGACTGTAATGACCTGGGACCCTGCGCCGACATTTGTCGCAATCCGCTCGGTAGCCCATGGAGATCGCTGCCTTCTTCTTCGAGGAAGAGGGAATATGATGCTCTCGTCTCAAGTTGCCCATCGAACCCGCCGGCTGTGACACATCTGGCGTAGTTTCCGAATACCATGGTGGCGGAGACGCTGGCTGGGACATGTATGTCATATCAGCGTCGCTCACAGAGCCCTTGCTGCTGATCGCCATGGCGTCGCCATTGTCACTGACCGGACTGGGGAGGCGTTGGCCGCACCACCAGACCCTGTCATGGCTCGCGTACGGACCTCTAGGGACGCCCTGCGACGTATATGATGTAGAGTTTTGCACCATGTCTCTTACGACGGGACTTCTTGGGGCAGGAGTGTTCCCTTCCGTAGAGTGTGTAGTCGGCTCTTCGCTTATAACCAGCGACTGGTCAACAAGACCATGAGGGATCGGCGACGGCTGGAGACTGTAATCGGTATATCCAGCGACAGATTCCGGGTTGGAATGTTCAACATTATTGGTCGAACATTGGGCGTCTTTTCCGTTATCAATATCCATGCTTGCACTCATTATAGGAATACACCCTTGCTCCGATGGTAATGGCTGATCCCGAGGTTGTGTCGAACCATGATGGGCAAATTTGTCAGCACCATTATCCTCCTTGTCATCATCCGAGGATTCCACTGGAGTTAGAGTCGAGAAACCGAAGCCAGATGCAAGGCGGTTGCTTTGTGGGAGGGAAGAAAACTGGAGGGCACTTGGGGACGCGCGGAGAGGAAGAGACCTGTGTTTCTGTTGATTACCATTAGTCGCGGGACGAGAATAGCAGGGGTCCTTCAGTCTCAAATTCACGGACCTTTGTCTCGCGGAACACATTTCCATCGAAGTCCTCTTGGTCCTGGTCTCTCTGGCGCTTGGTGGAAAATGCGTACATGGCGCTTTGGGCGCCAGGCCGTACAAAGAGGGCAGTGGAGACCAAGATGTGGAGTTGATTAAACAGAGTATTGCGGTGAGTGTGTTTCAAGCCAGGGTCAAGGTCACATTGAGTCTGATGAATCTACTCCGTAGGGATGTGGAAAGCAACACGCGTATGAGAATAGGGGCTCCAATAAGGAAGCAAGTAATATAGAAAAGGAGGCTAGTAATTAATAAGATGACAGGCCATGACTATGCAGCACGCTGAATAACTGGTCTAAAGCATGCATGGAGTCACACTAGTAAGTAGTTGAAGAATCAAAGAAACCGGAGCTGGAACGTGGATGGATCATCGCAGCAAAGACCGGGACTTATCGCTCAATGTCCAGCCGGGGTTTAGCGCCGTACGGTTGGTACCGTCACATGTTACGGATTCAGTCCGATTACTACTGATTAATACCGCCGCGGATGTATCAGGTACCTTGAGAGTACATTCTTTCTAGTTACAACTTTCTCTCCTCGGTGATGGGGAAGACAATTACTCGTAAAGTACCAAGTATGTCTTTATTGACATTTTCATATATGTATTATCCAATTACACATAGTAAACACACCAGTCTAATAGCATTCTTTTAGAAGCCTTCTTGTGCAATCATTGGCTAATAAAGTAAGACGATTCTAAACTCCGTAGTAGGCTTAGTAGTCCGTCTAGAGTCTCAGTACCCATGCATCTGATGCTGTCTGCGACCAACAACCCTCGCCAGCTTACTCTCGGACAAACAATGGTGTTTTACTTTGCGAGCAGATGTATATCCACCGAAGGCACCTGTTTTTCCAGCCATCGGACAGCCATCAAATTTGAAAATTCTTACTTTGTTCTTTGTACAAAGTAGCAGCCATGTGCATGACGTCACGGAAATCTAGGCTTCAACCTTCGACCTTTAGAATAATCCTCCATGTGGATTCGGTCTCTCTGGTTTGGTAGCTCAGTTCTCAATATATGCAATCAAATTCGTGCTATTCAAATGTCACCTGCAAAAAGTGGATTCGCCCTCGTGACTCCGGCTTCGAAAGGACTGGGATTCGCCTTTGCGCGACAGCTGCTGTCCAACACGGACCTCCCCGTTCTTGCGACTGCGCGGAGAGATACTGGACAACTCCGGAAAGTCTTACTGGAGCAAGTCAATGATGAGACTGGAAAGGCGGATGAGAGGCTAAGAGTCTTTGAAATTGACGTGACTGGTACTGAGTACATCATCCCCTCATGCGTTCTGGTTCTGAACAATGTCTTAGATGAGGCAACCATACACGCCATGGCTGCACAGATACGAGAAGAATTTCCACAGACTCCCCTGCGTATCGCAATCACCGTACCTGGCGTTCTGCATGTGGAGAAGTCTCCGACGCAGATTGATGCTGCCAATGCTCTGCACAGCTTCCAAGTCAATGCTCTTGGTCCTATGCTTCTGATGAAGCACTTGGCACCTTTTTTGCCAACGAAGTCATCCGCAACCTTTGCGGACGTATCTCTGTCGGCTCATGTACAACGGCCGTGGAAGCTTCCATCGCATGCGATCTACGCGATGATGGCCGCACGAGTTGGGTCCATATCGGACAATTCAACTGGAGGCTGGTATTCATACCGTGCTAGCAAAGCATCCGTCTTTCAGCTGACCAAAACTTTCGATCTGTACCTACGGTCACGGAGTAGAGACCGAGCGTTGGCGGTGGCGTTGCATCCCGGGACAGTCCAGACTGATTTCACGAAAGATTACTGGGATGGCAGACACATGTTGCAGCCAGAAGAATCTGCGGTGAAGCTATTACAGCATCTCTGTGGTATGCAGACCGGTGACTCCGACGGGCGGGGCCGCTGTTGGGATTGGAAGGGAGAGGAGGTTCTGCCTTGAACGATGTGGATGGTACAATAGGAAGTGCATGCCTTGGGTCTTTGTACGCCATGTATGGGACCGATCTTTATTTTGACAATTTTGTTATTTCGATTATCTTTCTTTCTTGTATCGTATGTGGAGTTGCGGTCAGACAAGGTGTGGAGCGAGATTCATGAGCCTCGGTTGAGATGAACAGCACAATGCTTGAGAGTGGTAAGTGCTGGAACCATACCAGATACAGGTTTCAATACGAGCATCTTAGCTGATTTTCCGTAGCAGCAATGTTGGACACAGTGGGCCACGGAAAGCACCTTAATTATCTTAGTGTGTATTTTGGTTTTTAAGGCACCGACAGCAGGCTGCATGCAGGGAAACCCAGTAAGGGCAATTCTGTGGGGATGAAGGGGCTGGGTCGGCCGTGATGGGGAAGCGTTCTTCCCTCGACTCGGTGAGTGGGCGGCAAAGCGATTACACGCGAGCCGGTCTAAAACGCTATTCCGGCTCAGGATGCCTCAACACCCCCCCAACACGATTTTTCGACTGGCTACCAACACTTCTTGGTCATTCTGAGTTCTTAAAATCGAGCTGAAGCATCCCTGAAGACCCACAGGATCTGTCTGACTCGCCGTTTTCCTTTGCAAGCTCGACCATATGTCCAGTCAGAGTCCACTGAGATTGGAGCCCTTCCCCTCAAGCCGTGGTAATGGTTCTCCAGTGGAGGAATTCAGAATGCAAATTGATTAGATCGAGTAGATCTACGGTCTAACGGTCAATTCCCCAGGTCCACACGGGAACTGCCGCCCAGGGCCACTCTGTTTTACGTCTAGCTCAACATGAGGTACATACAGGGGCTCGTTACCATACAAGGTGGGCGTGTTACTGGCCTCCCAACTTCCCCTTCGTGGGGATACTCGCACCATGTTTGCCCCATGGGGTTGTCAAGCCTAAACACCATTCAGCTAAGAGCCGGGGCAGTCTCGCAGAGATGCTGCTTGTTGAAAGTTAGCCGAGCGAGATACAGCATGTCCCGCCATCTGACTTCCGTGTGACTGGGCGTATCCAATTAAAGCAAATAATATGGGAGGCTCGGCCGAAGACAGAATAAGCCTCATGCATGGCGACGCGCACTGCTTCCTCGTTGCTTGGCTGACAGTGATCGAACTGCCCAGCAATTTGGACAGACGCCCACTGATGTGGAGGTCCTTACCCCATACGAAGCAGGCTCACTTGATACGCAGTGTTACTATGGAGTACATATGACCCTGCATGCCAGCCGTCCATTCCATAAACCCCCGCCTTGAGCGACTTAATTCTCCGGACGGAGTTCGCGATAAGACGATTTGAGAGATACGAAACTTATCACACAGGCCTCGTACTCATAGACCGCAATCGTATATCGAATGATCTCATGCATCAGGAAGACAAACCTATCCACATTTTGTGATCAGATGCAGGCGAAAATCTAGAACTCCGACGCGACGCTACGCTACAATGGCCGACTTCAGTCGCTCTCTCGTTCAACTGCAACAGCCCGAGCATTGGTTGTCTAAGCCCTTGAGTCACAAGCTGATTGACGTAAGCTATCTGGGACAGGGCCTCGGAACAATGGCATCCAGCGGTTTAAGAATCCCCGATAAAAACTGGAAATCGGAGTAATCCGAATCATGATGTGCTCTAGAGAGCATTAAGTCATGGAGTGACCGATCTGGACCGGTAGGCTATCGTTTGCGATAAGATGCTGGGGGGTTGAATTGACACAACCTAAAGCGGGAACCTTATTCGTACCATGAATGACCTTTTTGAGGTGGATAATTGTGCGAGAAGGGGGGATAAGCTGAGTGTGATCAAATCATGCAGTATCACACACCACGGAGCCTTGATGCATTGATCACATCAGACTCGAGGGCAGTGGTTCTGGGCCATGATGGGAGGGGAAGGGGATCCGTGGATGTATCAAGAATGGGTGGGGGTGGGGAGGGAGGACTATTGAACTCTAGAAGCGTACCTCAAGTGGTGGATGGAGGGAGGGAAGAGTTGATAGAAAGAGAGAGAGAGAGAGAGAGAGAGATGGGACGATGGATGGTGACACATGGGACAGACAATACGGTATTGATACCGCCACCGGTAGGTTGCAGCCAACCAACCTTAAGTTTTGCAAGTGTGTGAATCATCGGCTGGTCCGCGCTCCCGCGGCCCACACTTTCTCTGTCTTCATGCCATTTCCATCTTCTCTCATTTGCTCCATTTCCCTGCTCTATTTTTTTCTTTTCTCGCTTGTGCCTTGCTCGCTTTCTCTTTGACCCCCGATTTCGCTTCGGTTGTCTTCTCCCCATTGACTCATCTCCATTGCACACTTCCTGGCCCTTCTAGACCCCTTATAAAGGCTGTATTGTTGTCCTCTTCCATCATTCTTCCTCTTTCTTCCTTTCCCCTCATACAGAATAATCCCTTCCACACAGCCAATTCCCCCCCACCATGCCTTTGATCAGCACCACAGAAGTCAATGAGGACACTCGCGGTTAGTAAACAAACCTCATTTTGAGTGCCAATGAGCCTGTACTGATTTGTCAATCCATTTAGTCCTGGGATATGATCCCCTCCTTCCCCCTCAGTACCTCCAGAATGAGATCCCTGGTGTGAGTCACGTCGTCCCCCCCTTGCTTTTTCCCTACCAATTTTTCCCAAGTCTTTCCTGTCATGTTGGTTGGCTTCTTGACCCGACCACATTCTGAGTTATTTTCATCGTCAATTGCCTCGGTTCAGACCATTGGGGCTAACAGAAGACATGATTAGAAAAAGGAATCCCTCGAGGCCGTCCGCTCTGGCCGTAACCAGGCCATGAAGATTATCGAGAAGAAGGATGACCGTCTGCTGGTTGTTGTCGGCCCCTGCTCGATCCACGACCCTGCCACGGCCCTCGAATATGCCGGCCGTCTGAAGGAGCTCTCCGAGAAGCTTTCCTCCGACCTTTGTGTCATCATGCGTGCCTACCTTGAGAAGCCCCGCACCACGGTGGGGTGGAAGGGTCTGATCAACGACCCCGACATTGATGAGTCCTACAACATCAACAAGGGTCTCCGTGTCTCACGTCAGCTCTACTCTGATCTTACCAGCATGGGCATGCCCA